AGTTGCAAGGGGAGCCCCCGTGGCCACCCCAAGTCTGAAGACCCTGCTCCCCTGCTCGCCTCTCCCAGGGACGGGGCCAGACCCTCAGCCTCTGCTGGGGCTCCGATCACAGGAGGGAGGTTCCACCCCAGCACCGAGGGCCAGTCAAGAACACTCCGGATTTCCACGCCTGCCCCAGAGTCAGGGGCCCAAGCCGGGAGAAACCCAGAGGTGGGTGGGACGGGACGGCAGTCCTCAGGCACCAAGCATGAGGGTTACTGTGGGGGAAAGCAGGGGGACGAGAAGGCCTTGGATGCGTCACATGGGGGCTCCCCACGCCCCTGCCTGGACACTCAGGACCCAGCTACCATTCCTAGGAGAGAGCCGAGGGGAGTTTGATCAGGAGTCAGTCCCAGTGGAATCCCATGTGGGTGGCAGGGGCTTGGGGCACAGGCTTGTGTCCAGATCGGGGGGGAACCGGGGATGAGCATCTCTGAGCAGGAAGCAGACAGAGGCATGGCTGGCAGAAGCTGAGAGTGAGAATGGGCGGAGAGGCTTCCCGGGAGGGAGAGCTGAGCAAGGGGACAGCCTCAGACACTGAGCCCCCACACCCGGACACACACAGTCGGTCTCATTGGCAGGCCGGCAGCCACACCACCGAGAGCACGAGGCACGTCTACACAGGGGGCCTCGGGAGGCCCGGGCTGGCCTCTGCCCGCCCAGCCGGGCTTCCCCGCGGGACACGTCCAGCCACAAGGCTGCCCGGCTGGTGGTCCTGGCCAGGCCCAGGGGGACTTCCCCGGGACTTCCCTACTGCCCCCATTGCCTGGCGGAGCCAGCCTGGGTGTGAGAGAAGAAAAGGAGCGGAACAAGAGCCCGGAACACGAAGCTGGACCCGTCCTTTCGCCATGTGCAAAAATTAACTCACACTGGATCGAAGACCTAAACTCAAGAGCTTAAACTACAAAACTCTTAGAAGAAAACACAGGGGGAAAGCTGCATGATGTTGGATTTGGCAACGATTTCCTGGACGTGGCACCAACAGCACAGGCGACAAAACAACAAAGAGATAAATGGGACTTCAGCAAAATTAAAAACGTTTGCACATCCGAGGGCGCTAACACCTGGGTGCAAAGGCAACCCGGGGATGGAAGCCATCGTGTGCCACATCCAGGATCAACATCCAGAGTCTACAGAGATCCCCTAAAACTCAACAGCAAAAAAGCCAAATAATCCAAACCAAAAATTGGTAAAGGGCCTGCATAGACACGTCTCCAGGGAGATACGCAAAAGGCGAATAAACACAGGACAGGGGCTCCACCTCACGACAGTCGGGAAACGCAAATCAAAACCACCCCGAGAGGCCTCCTCGTGCCGGCGGCAGGAAGACACGTGGCGGGAGCTGGCAGCCACGCCACAGGGTCGGAGTGCGCCAGCGAAGAGTCTGGGGCATGGAACCACACTGTGCATCCCGGACACGTGGGGGCCGCGGCGGGGCGGATGGCCCCCAAAACTCACGTCCAACCGGAGCCTGTGCACATGGCCTATTTGGAGACGGAGTCTTTGCAGATGCCATTAAGGGTCTCGAGACCTGATCGCCCTGGATTACCCAGTGGCTCTAAATCCAATGGTGACACAGGGGAAGGCCGTGTGAGACAGAGGCAGAGACCAGAGGGCTGCGGCTACAAGCCAAGGACGCCAAGGACTGCAGGGGCCCCCAGGAGCTGGGGAGAGGCCAGGAACAGATTCTCCCTCCAGAAGGAACCAGCCCCGCCAACACCTTGATCTGGGACTTCTGGCCTCCAGCATTGTGAAAGAAGAAATTCCTGTAGTTTGTGGTACGTGGTTACGGCAGCCCAGGAAACCACTGCAGGGACCAGAGTCCCTGCCGGGCAGAACAGGAAGCGGGTGCAGAGGGCTTCAGGCCAAGCCTCTTGTCCTGGAGAGCTCATCGAGGCAGAGCCAGAGAGGCGGAGGCGGCCGGCAAGCTCATGACCCGTCCGGGCCAGGGTAAGAATCCCCCAGGGGGTTCAGAGACCGTCTGGGACAGAAGGGGATGCGTGAGGACTGAGGGGCTCCCACGGGGCCTCCTGCATGGCCACCCATGACCCAGGGCCTGACCTCAGAGGAGCTGAGCCCCACTCTGTGCCCCACTGCGTCGGGCGGACACCCAGCAGGGGCAGGAGTCTGGTGACAGCACGGCCAGGCCCCTCCAGGACCCCCCGCCCACAATCGTGACTGTGCAGAGCTGTCCACGTCCCCTGCCTGCAGCTCACACACACGGCCTGTTCCCACCCTCCCAGGCCCAGCTGAGCGGGGTGACGGCTTCCCAGTGGAAAGTTCCCTTCTTGGAGAGTCTCTCCCTGCTGAAACACAAGCTCTTGGAACAAGATAAAACTGCTTAATTTGTAAAAGCCACAAAGCCAGGCCAGAACCGAAGAAAAGCCCCAACCCTTGGCTGGAAGGAGCGGCCTTCCATGCCTTAGCGGCCAGTCACTGCTCTGTGACTCATGCCAGCCCTGCTGACGAGCCCTCCAGCATCTTCCCAGGGGAAGACCACAGCCCCAGAGAGGACCGAGCAGGCCCCCAGGCCCCGGTGCACAAACCAGGCGGGAGCCAGGGGCTGCCACTGGAGGGACGAGAGGGCAGGTGGAAGGGCTCCTGAGGCTGCCAGTACCTGCCGAAGCCCCTTCCCTGAGGCTGGTGGACCACCAGGGACTCACCAGGGCAGGACCGCACCTCACCTACCCCCACCCCTTCCTGGCAGCCTGGGCTGGACACGCCCCAAACGCCAGCCCAGCGGGGCACAAGCAGCAGCCACAGCCACGTCTGGAGATGAGCGGGGCCGTGTCTGCCAGGCAGAACCTGTCCCCACGTGGGGACTGAAGCTGCCACCACAGCGCCTCGTGGTGAGACAAAGGGGCAGGAGCCACGTGCCCAGAGGGAAGGAAGGAGCTCGGCAAGGCCCGGCGGCCCAGGAAACTCAGGGCACGCTCTGAAACCCCCGGGAAGGGAGGGGACGCTGCCTGGGGACCATGCTGGTCACACTCCCGCACCTTGCAGGTTAGGAAACTGAGGCTCAGGGCCAAATGGTGACTTGCTCAAGGTCTCCCAGCAGGGACAGGACAGGAACTCGCTTCCCAGGGACTGGTTCAGAGTTCGGTTACAATGAAAGACCACAGTTAAGGTCTGACCAGGGTGAGAAACATGTTAAGGAAATAGTTCAGGGATTTTCATTTTCATTCTGTTATAGCCAGTTTGCAACTGAGTTTTGGGGGAAAAGAACAAATTTCTTTGATGGAAACACATCCAAATGGGGATGTCGTAGAAGGTACCAGTCTCCCGTCGAGGCACATCCTGAGCGAAGGTCCCCACTCCATCCCTGTGGAGCTGCCCCGGCTGAGGGCAGCGGGGGTCGGAGCCGTCCCAAGGCATACACCTGGCCGTTTTCAAAGGCTGTTTGTTCAGCCCGCGAGAAGCCCGTGTCTGGTTAGCCTGAGAGGTTCCCAATGTCGCTATCACTTCCGAATCTCCAGGGAGCCCCTCCCAGCCCCTTGCCTTTGTGCTGGCTCTCGGACCCCTGGCCATCACTCATCTGGGCCTTGGCTTGGTCATCTATGAGATGAAGGCTGGACCCAAGGCTCCCCAAGGCCCCTGCCAGCCAGGCCGGTGAGCGACGTCCTCCTGGGCCTAGTGGCTGAGGAGGCAGCAGGCCCCACTCTGGTCCGCCCAAGCTGCCTGTTGGAGGCGGCCACTCTGAGGACCACTCCATCCGCCCAGCCCCATCCACCCCAGCTGGCCCATGTCCCTGAGACAAGATGCAGTTCCACCACCGGCTGCGCCTTCTGCCCATCCCCGTGGCTGCCCCCGCCGCGTGGTTCACCTGCAGTGGCACAGACGCACACACGCCCCGTCAGCAGGACCCCGAGCGGCTCCCCTCTCAGCGGCTGCCCTGCCGGTCCTGACATCACATCAGGATGTGGCCCTGGGAGCAGGAGCTGAGAAGCTGCTCCATCCTGCAGAGAAGCCGTTGACATGGGCCTTCCTTCTCTCTGGCCCCTCAGGGACCCCCCAACACACACACACAGTGGCAACCCGCAGCCCAGGGCCAACCACACTTGCATGACAGTCTTAGCCTTGCTGTGACCCACAGGTCACCCCAGAACACCTGAAGCCTAGAGTGCAGCTCAGCTCACCACGTCCCCAGCACCCAGTTTAGAGGGTGTGCCGTGCCCGGCAGGCACTGACTCATGGTCATCACTGGCACTGATGCCAACTGGGGGAGGTGGCAGCCGCGGCACACCGCATGCGAGTGAAGGAACGAGGCGGGCGGGCCTGGAGAGGGGAATTTTCTAGACAGGGTGACTCAGGGAGGGGAAACCTCCGTTCTCTTCATTTTTCGACTCATGCTCCCGACCCACGGGCCTGTGCCGGCTTCAGGGGGCTGCCGACGTGAATGGCCACACGTGCACACACGTGCACACACATGCGCACTCTCCCAGACACGCCGGCTCCTCTGAGCACCGGGAGCTTCCACCTCTGTAATCAGCTGCCGGGAAGGCACCGAAATGCTATTTCAGGGAGGAGTCTGGGGTGGCCTTGAAGACAGACCTCGGCTGGCAGCAAAACAACAAACCGCCCGGCGGAAAAAACCAACCACCGGCCAATGCCAGAGTGTCCCAAGCACCGCCCTAGACCTGAGCGCCAGGGGCAGGTCCCCCCACCCCTTCCCCAGAGCCCAGGGTCTCAGCACCCACAGTGGCTGTGAGATGCAAGAGAGGCACATGGGAAAGGAAGGAGAAATAGCCAGGGGGGAGGAGAGAAGAGTTTAAATAAAAGCCAGACATAGCGGAGCTCAGCTTTTGGAACAACATTCTGTCCCAACTCAGAATAGTCAAAAGGAAAAGAAATGTTTCTACAAAAATGAGCAAAAGTGACCCTTGGGTGCTTATGTCCCCCAAGCAGAGACAGAGCCCCGAGTGTGGGGGCTGGCGGGCCGCGGCCGGGGGCTGTGCGCCTACCTGAGATCCGGTCCCTCTCCATTCCTACGGATATATTTAGCAGCACGCGGGCGTCCTGGCGTCCCCTTTCTCACCCCCGTCGCCCCCCCTTTCTGCCTCCTCCTCCTCCTCCTCCTCCTCCTCCTCCAAAAACACTCTTTGTCTGGTCTAATTTCTTCAATCTGTTGCAATCACGAATGCATCCAAATTACCACATTTCCATGTGCTGATCATATGTTTGTGCTCCAAACTGAAGTAGCATTGTCTCTTCAAACCAGAGGAGAAAGGGAGCAAAGGAGAGAAATTCAAAAAGAAGCGGCGGGGGAAAGGGCCAGGGTGGCCCCGGGAGTTAGCGCTGGCCGCGGCGTGTCCCTCGGTGCGGAGGCTACAGAGGTCCAGCAGCTTCCGGCGGCCTCCTCCCTCCACTCCCAGCTCCCGCCGCTGCCGGAGTCTCACTGCTCCTTTTTAATATCCACTTGGAGATGCTTAACTTAGCCTCTTGGAAACCAACTCACAGAGTCAAATTCCTGGCGACTTCCAAAGTCTTTCATTTTCCCCGTCCCGCGATGCTACGATTTCCTTGGGTTTAAGCATTTAAAAAGCCCAGTTCCCGCGTGCCTGCCTCGCCTTCCTCCGCCCCCAGCCCGGCCCGGCCCTTCCTTCACCCTGCACCCCGACTCGGCTGGGCGGGAGGGGTGGCCGTGTCCCAGGCAGGCAGGCTGAGAGAAGGTTCCGGAGCACCTGCCCAGGAGGAACCCTGTGAAGTCACCCTGTCCCGTTAGACAGAGGCAGCTGCTGTCCCCGCCCAAGCTGAGAGGCAGAGCAGGACAGGGACTTCCTGGAAGATTCCAGCCACACACTCATGAGTCAGTAGCTCCTGGCCGTCCCCTGGGAGGGACCAAGTCTTCTCGCGCCGACCTCCCCAGACTCCTTGCCTCTCCGGGAACTCGGGGCCCGGCTGGGGGTGTCAGTGCTGGTTCCCGATGTTCACCTGGGTCCCCTGGGGCTGCTCACCTGGCAACCTGGATGCTCCCCACCAGCACCTGGGCAGAGTCTGGGCTGGGCCCGTGGGCTACAGTGTGTGTCACTGGGAGTGGGGGATGGGGGGCACCCCTCTGCTCCCTTCACCTAAAGGATGCATTCAAACCTGAGACACAGAGACAGGTTCTGTTTGTCCAACCTTGTTCAAAGAAAATGTGTATCATGCCAACATTTAGGACTCAGGCGCTTTCCCTGAGAACTCCAGATTTTCAGCTTCTCTTGAAAGAGGGAGGGTGTGTGGCCACACCTGCGAGCCCTGCCCACCTGGCCACACAGGGCTGGTTTGAGGAGTGCTGTGCCCTTCCCATGAAACACACAGTTCCTGGTTGTTCTGGTCCCAAGGCCCCTTTACGGGTTTTCATTATTGGCCCAGACCCCCGGAGGCCTCTGAGTTTGTAATCCCTGCGCCACGAGGCCAGGTGAGTTACCTATGACCAGGTGAGGCCCACGCACAGCTCTCAGCTAGATGACAGAGCCTAAGGCCCTGCAATGTCACTTCGGGCTGCAGTTCCCATCCCCTCCCCGCCTGGAACAGGACCCCAAAAGTGGTCTCCTAGGCAGAAAGGGCATCTTCTTGGGGAGCGAGGAGACAGTTTCCAGCCTTCTGGGAGACACCAAACAGCAGCCGGCCTCCCCCAAAGAGCCTAGAGGACCCCAACGGCAAAGGCAGCCTGCGTGGGGAGGGAAGGGGGACGGTGTCTCAGCCGGGGTGGGGGTCCCGGGGGCTCTCGGGCAGTGCAGTGGGCTGAGTAATGGCCCCAAAATATCACAGCCTAATCCCTAGAACCTGTACATGTGACCTTCTTTGGGAAAAGGGTCTTTGCAAATGTGAACACGTGAAGGAGCTTGGCTGGGGCGGTCTTCCTGGATTATCTGGGTGGGCCCTGAGGGCCGTGGCAGGTCTGAGAGGGGGACAGAGCGAGACCCGACACGAGGAGAAGGCGAAGACGGACCCCGGGGTGCGGAGGTGCTGTCTTGAAGGCAGGAGTGACGTGGCCACGAGCAACGATGGCCCCGGAAGCGGGAAGAGGCAGAGACGGCTGAGCCCCCCACAGCCTCCAAGGGGACGCGTCCTCCCGACACCCCAACTTCGGACATGCGGCCTTCAGAACCGTGAGAGAAGGAACTTGTGTGACCTTCCCAGTTCGTGGTCATTTGTCGCAGCCGCGGGAGGAAGCTGGGGTAGGCACCATGGACCAAAGCGCCAGCGTTCGCTGGCCTGTCTTCTGTTATTTTATTTCTTTCTAAAACATTATGTTAAACCAGCCGCTAACGAGCGTTGACTCCGAAGGGTGGGACTCACCGAGGTTTCTTGGTCTGTTTATTTAATCTCTTTCCCAATTTAGAAATAATATTCCTGATTGGTCTTCCTGATTATAGAGGTAATGTCTGTTCGCTGCATTAAATTTAGAAACTACAGACAAAACACGAAGAAGAAACGCAGTTAACCCCACGCGACACCCTCCAAACCAACTCCTGCCTCAGCAGGCAAGTCTGGGGGGCCATGAGGCTCAGACCGGCCGGGGGTTGGGGGTGTGGGAGGAGTGGGCGGAGTCGGGGGCAGGGCTGTGGCGGGCTGCCACCCGGCCACCTGCTGTGTGCTGAGCATGCTGTGGGCGTCATGCTGCGGTTGGTGTCGCTGCCGAGAGCGCCGCCCTGACCCCCAGTTTTGGCACGAGGTCCATTTTCCTGCCAAGCCTAGAACTACACGCACACTGGCCCAAGCGGGGGGCATTTGAAACTGAAAACCTGGCAGCGCCGATCGGCTCCGCCGGGGCCTGCGCCAGTCATGAGCCGGCTCAGAGGTGGCACAGAGGTGGGGTGAAGCCAGGCCAGGGTAGGGGCAGAGGAGGAGGGCGCCACCTCCCCACCACTCGCAGTGTGCCACCCTCAGCGCAGGCATTAAGGGGGCAAGTCACCAGGCCAGGCCAGACTTGAGTCCTATAGCAGCTTCCCCACGCAGCTCCCCCCTCCAGAGGAACGCTGAGGAGGTTTCCGTGGTCGTGTCAAACTTTATCCCCGTCTCGGATTTGAGGCACGTCAGCGTATTAAATGCAGCGAGTGGTCCTGCGGTGACCAGCCTGGCGTGGTTTAACCCAGCTTCTCTCAAACTGGACCCAGGGTTGTTGTCCCCGGGAAGCAGGACCCTCAGAGCCACGGCTTTGGGAACTTGTGGCTCTGCCAGCCCACGAGCCCCAGCTCCTGGCCACCCCAGCCTGCCCACATCCGGGTGGGCACTGTTACCCAACAGCCCCTTCCAGACAGTTCCCAGGAGGGCGTCTTCACCCCCAACAGACCCCTGGCCACTTTCTTTGGAACGTCACCGTCATCAGTCCAGAGGTCCTCCGAATTGCAGAGTGGGGCTCTGTAGGCACAGGGCCACTTGCAGAAGCCGTGCGGGGCCCGGGCAGGGGAGGGGGGAAGAGGGGGCATCTCGTGGAGAGAAATGAAACAATCATTCTTCTCTCTCCAGCATGGCCTGGGAGCTGTTTATTTTTCGAGGATCAGTCAAATGCCTCCTCTGTCAGGCAGCCTTCCTGGGTGCCCCTCCCCTCCCATCCTGCTCCCCAGTGCCGCCAAGCCTTCATGGACAACCCTGACATCAGAGCCTCCGGGTACAGATTTTCCTCCTCCGTGGAAATTCGTACTCCAAACTGGTAGTGTCTACAGCCTAAGCCCCTGCTCCCACGTGAAACAAAAGTAAAAGGTATGGGTGGCTTCTCCTCCCCCACCCACCTCTCTGGCCTCTGTGACCAAGGCCCAGTGGGGACCATGTTCCGTTCAGCCCCCCAGGCACACCGCCCTGAGAGCTAGTGACCCTGTCCCCTTCCACGAAGCACATCTTGATCCCCCCACACCCAGCTGGGAGGGGACAAGTGCCAGGCGTCCCCCAGCATGGCCTGAGCTCCCTCCACCAGGCCAGGAGGCCCTGGGGCTGTCCCAGGCGTCCAGGAGAGGGAGCATGTCCTCCAGGCAGCAGGGGCCTCCGGAAAAGGGGCTTCACAGGTGGCACCACCTTGACTCACTGTGAGGAGGTGGGGAGAGGGACTCTCTGGCCGAAAGGACACTTTCTGACACTCTGGGCTCAGACTCTCTGCCACCTGCCCCCCTCCCACAGCGCAGGTGCCTGTGAATCCTCCGCAACGACCACCGAGCTGGCAGGAGATGCCGCAACCTCTCACTTCAGACCTGACAGCTCTGCTGGCTTCCTGCTCATCCCGACTCGACCACCAAAGTTTGCTTCCCCGAATGAAAAACGATGGAGCTCCATCCCCGGACCCTTCCGCCCACGCTGCCACAGCCACCGCAGCTGTACCTGCCAGCAGAGCCGGCCAAGACCCTCCGGGCCGGCCCCAGCCTGGGGCAGCGGCCTGCCTCTCCGGAATCTTCTCTCCACTTTTTGCTGTGCCTCAAGTTTCGGCTGTTCCTAAACAAATACAACCCAGCTACTCTCTGCCCTTGGGGCCGCTGCAGGGTTTACTGGTGCGAACGGCAGGCCAGCCTGTTGCTCTGGGAGTCCTTCCAGGTCAGCGTGGAAGGAAACCAAGACAATGGGAGAAGCAGCCCAGATGGGCCCAATTCCACCGCTAACGGCCCTCGCGCTCAGCCATCCGTCCCGGAGCCGGCGCTGGCGCTCCATTCGTAAGGGGCCCCCAACCGCCGGCGCAGGACAAGGGGGCTCTGGGGGCGCAGAGGCCAGGGCCCTTTGCAGAGGGCTCTGGAGTTTAAGCTTCTCCCCAGCAGACGTAAAACTCCAAGAGTGGGTGACTTTCCCTGGAGACCTGATTCTGCCTGCTCAGTAGGTGCCCGACAGTTGTTCGCTGGATGAACAATGCACATGAAGATCCAACGTGAAAATTATCCAACCCGGCGCCACCCCATAGAACTTTCTGCAGTGATGTAAATGTTCTGTAGCTGCCGTGTTCAACATGGTAGCCACATGTGGTGCTGAGCGCTTGCAATGCGGCAGCGCTACCAAGGCACGAGGTTTTCATTTATGTTAAATAATTTAAATTTAAATAACCACAAGTGCCTGGTGCCTGCCCATTATCCAGACCCTCTCTGTGGCCCTCTCCTCCCTGGAGACATTGCATTCTCCATCAATTTCTTCCCCAGAAGGCAAACAAAGGGGAAAGCTACTCTCTAGCCAAGGCAAAAGAAGGCGGATATTCCTGTTTGGAAACTAGTTTTTTGGCTGGCTGCGGTGGCTCACGCCTGCAATGCCAGCAGTTTGGGAAGCCAAGGCGGGAGGATCACTTGAGGCCAGGAGTTTAAGGCCAGCCTGGGCAACACAGAGAGACCCTGTCTCTACAAAAAGTATCAAAAAATTAGCCGGGCATGGTGGCATGCGCCTGTAGTCCCAGACACCAGGGAGGCTCAGGCAGGAGGATCGCTTGAGCCCCCGAGTGGGAGCTCTGATCTCACCACTGCACTCCAGCCCAGGTGGCAGAGTGAGACCCTGCCTCAAAACAAAGAAACAGAGAAACTGGTCTTTTGGCTGATTCCTCCAAGCTGCTCCTATCAAGGTCAGTCCAACAACCGGCACTGGTGGCCACCGCGTGCCCTGCGAGCATCCCAGCCCCGTCCACGGCTGCGGAGGGAGGTGGGAGCTGCTGCAGAGGGAGGATCAGGCGGCCCGGGGTCGGGGAGAGCCCTTTTGAACCTTCCTGTCAGGCGTCCCCCTGCAAGGGCAGAGACACCGGGGACCCCAGTGTGTAAGGGAGATCCTGCTGTGGGCGAGGCATGGTCC